GTGTAGCGGTTAAATTAATATTGCTACGATCTTTGAAAGCTAGAAATCTCTGGTTGTCACATTTTAGACAGAGCACGGCCAAGGAAACAGGCCAAAAACCGCAATTTACCGGGGAAAGGCAAAAGCGTTCATAGGAGCCGGGCGTAGCGTGCGCCAAAAAGTTTAAGCTGCTATAACTTTTTTAAACGGGCTTAATCTTGAAAACCCAATATGAGTTATTGCAGAGTAAAATTTTACGGTTAGAATGATAGCAAAGACAGCAAGTTAGGCCTCCGAAATACCACTTTCCACAAAGTCGCCAACAAAGGTCGTTTATGTTTTGATACTTCCTGAATTCAGTTTTCTTAGTGAGTGTTATAATTAGAATCGCCGCGTGCCATCCTACAGGGTTGGAATTCGCCTTTTTTTAATTCGCATTAGTTCTAAAGCTATAAGGCTTAGAAGCTTTGGCTTTTGAATCGATTGTAGTGCCGTGTTGCTTAGGGCCTTATTGCCGCTAATGTTGGGTGTGCAGTGATTGTCGCAAGCCTTTCGACCCTTGCCGACTACAAGCAGTGGTTTTCGGTGATATTCAAAGTTGCGACGCTGGTTAGCCATTTCTGTGGAGGATGCAATGCTGAGCAAATCCCATCCTTCTGTCGGGCCCAGTTTTGCCCGGCTTTTACCAAAATGGAATATTTTGTGAAAAATGGGAATTGCTCAGAATTTCAAGCTCTATCCAATGAGATATTTCCCATCGTGTCCCCTTTTCAGCTGGCTTTCTCCGTTCTCCGTAACATGAACGCCTTCCATCTCCGGGATTTGGTGGAAAATGTCACATTTACCATGCGCGTCGTGTAAAGCGAACGGGGTGGACGCAAAAAGCTAATTTTTGGCTGGTGCGCGGTGGCTGTTCAAACATTGCCCGCATGTTCCTCCGCAAAAAACGATGGGACCTTTGGTAGGATACAGTATATTCGTATTCACAATGGAATTTCTGTAAACACGGACGTTACAACCAGTCCTACCACGAAGCGAGACAACGAGACGTCGATATTTTGTTAGTGAAATCAGTGAAAGAAAATTAGTGAGACGTGAACTGAACTTTGAGCTTTTATCTCTCGTGCTCACATATTTTTAGTTACTACCTATCACCTCACACGAGAATGTAGCAAAGCTGGAAAACCAGTAATTTGCCGTACGAATTCGAGCCACTCCGGGACTGCCGATACCGGCGGGCTCTGTTCTGTGAAATGAGGGGCCGTTCAGACTTCAAGCAAGTTCCTTTGAAAAGTCTAAATCAATAATTTTTGAATATGAATATTTATTTCCGGTCGGCACCGATGTAAAGCATACTTATTCGCAAAATTAAGGCGAACATTTTGGAATACGTTACGCACCTACAGACAAACATGGCGCCAAGATGCAAAAGCTGGGCGCCGGCTTCCGGGGAGGGGGGGGGGGGGCGGGGGAAATGCACTCTTACCCTCCCCAGATAGTGAACTGCAAAACCTGCCAAAACATCGACAACTAAAACTTATCGACGGCGTGCCGCCTTGCAATGCTTTTCAAAGTGGTCTGCGGCGTCAATGTTCACCCCAAAGATTTGTGACGCGATTTGTTATCCAGCTAGATATCTCTCGTGTTCTTTCCATTTGATTCGATCACGCCGATCCTCGATAAAAACATCTGGGTCCATGCCCAACCGCGCACCTGGGTACAAAAAGTTTGGATTGAAGGTTGGTTAGGCTGTTTGTGCAGCTTCAATGTCGCTCCTCCGCGTACAGCGAACTCTAATTTTTGAACTGCTGGCTAAGCAGTGGCTAGTAGAGCCGCTGTTAAAGAGCAATATGGGCGGGGTTCCCAAAGTTATGTAGGCAAACCGTTCGCGATGTCGTGCAGCAACAAGGCTTAGAATATTGAAGCCGACCCCAGGAAGTGGACCATATAACAAAAGGGTTTTTCTTGTTGATAAAAATATGCAAAGACATAGCTCGTTTCTTCCAAATCCCGGTAAAAAAGTCTATAACGCCGTTATGTCGAATGGTAAAAAAGGTGGATCACGGACACGGCACGATTAGCCTAAAATTGTGTAACGGCAAAGTAATATTATTGAATTGCGTTGTTTGTTATGGAATTTCGCTATGAAACGTACAAGTCACCGAGATCTACGTAGCGGCGACCGACACTCACACTCCCTTACGCAAAGCAGCACAGCGCGGCAGCTAATAATGAACTGGCTCGTATGGAAGCTCGATTTTCATGTTGCGGCGGTAAGGTGACATTTAGTCCCTAAATCCTCTGCTTTAGCTATTGCAAAGGAAACGACGCGAAATGTCACATTTCACGCCGGCGTGGGGTATCGGCCACTTCGCTATTTTCGTTCAATATGATTGGATCCCCCAATTTATGCGCTAAATTCTCTTTTGTTTTGCGAGGCTTTCTAATTCGACAACCATTTGTTTAGACCTGGGCTTCAAAAATTTGCGCTTTTTCTAACAAGGAAACGCTTTTTAGTGATAATTGAGTTTCCGTACGAGACCAAGCCTATCTTGTGCACAATTTTGCACTGATTCTGGGTCTGGTCTAGGGTTGAGTTTTGGCGCAACCGGTTTCCGATCGATCGCTTTGCATATCCTAAACGATTAAATCGTTGGACGAAAACTGGTTTCCTGCTTCAAACCGATTTAAATCGGTTCAAGAGGCAAAACCGGTTTTTGTCAGGCTCAGAAATCGGTTCGCGGTAAAAACCGGTATAACTGGTTTCCGAGCCTGACAAAAATCGGTTTTGCCTCGTGAACCGATTTAAATCGGTTTGAAACAGGAAACCGGTTTTCGTCCAACGATTTAATCGTTTAGGATATGCAAAGCGATCGATCGGAAACCGGTCGCGCCAAAACCCAACCCTAGTCTGGTCTCAAAATCTACCAAGCGATAAGATTCAAAAAGTTATGACGCTTTTAAGCGCGGAAATGGCCTGGCCCAATTTCGGGAAATTTTGGCCTTTTTACAAAAAAAAGCTTTTTAGCTTTTTCACCCTAATCGTTTCGCAGCGTTGAAACCAGTTTCGGAATCAGCGCAAAATTCTGTACAAGGTAGGCCCGTTCCCGTATGGAAACTCGATTATTCCTAAAAACGTCTCTTGGATATCTAATCAGAACCGCCAGCACCAGAACTTATTCCACATTAGTTTTCCAAAGTTGACAATTGCCAGGGCAGGCTTGACTCCTTTTCCTACTGCTTCATTCATCAATAGCTGAATTTTCTGCAACGATTTCCAACCCTTGTTCCGAAATTCCAGAAACTTCCTTATTACCACTGGTCAATGTCGCTAGCGAACTAATTAAACTCACTTACGAAGTCTCGCACTAGATAGCCACGAATTCCAAACTAGCGATTGCATGGGGCGTCAGTGAACTTACAAGGGAACCACCTAAGGTCAAGGTGGCGTTTCGTTATGGGACCCAGCCTATTTTGTGTAGAATTTTTTGCTGATTCCGAACCCGCTTTCAATTTTTGCTAAATAGCTCAATTTAAAAAGTTATAGCGATTTTAAGGCCATATCTGTGCCCGCGGGAAGTCATCTGTCACAATGCCCAACTTTTTTCTATTAATAGGGCAGTCGATTTTTAATAGCCTGTCTTGTAGAGAATTTTTTCTGATTCGATTGGTATATTTCATTAGTGCGCAACGACCTATCGACGATCACTTACCGGGGTGTGAAATAGGCAATTTTTCACCATTTCCCATGGAAAAAAACGGAGTCCATACCAAGTATCGTCGATTTTTTCAATTTTCAACAATTTTGAGTTAAATAGTTCATTCGATAGAGGACATTTTTCTGAATACGATGGCGATATTCGTTTTTGAGGAATCAGACGGGAAAGACAAGATAAATGAATTTGAAGTTCGAAAATTTGGGAAAAAATGGAACTTTGAAACGCTATAACTTTTTAAATTGGGCTATTTAGCAAAAAATAAAAGCGGATTCGAAATCAGCAAAAAATTCTGCACAAAATAAGCTGGGTCCCATAACGAAACGCCACCTTGACCTTAGGTGGTTCCCTTGTTAGCTTCCGAACCCCAAATTTGTCCAGTTTTCCAGACGAAACTCGTTTTCGATATCCGTTATCTGCAAATCTTGTAAATAAGGGATCGCCCAATGATGGTAGCAAGTTATTATTACTATATAATTATTACTATTATTAATAACCCTTGGATTCACCAGCGCCAGTTTCCACTACTCAATTCTGCCTCCAAAATGCAAGCCTCTTGCCTTCGAATCCGAAATTCAGGTGTCCAATGGACGCCTTGACTATGGAATTTCACCGGATAGCTTCCTAACAAAGCCGTCAAATCACAAATCGCGGACTGAACCGGATGGTCGGTGTATTTTGGACATTAAATTAAGCGTTTAGGCAATATAAACACAGCGAAGTGGACACCCTTCTATACCACTGCGCAGCAAGCCAAGCCGACATGCAGCTCACTCAAACTCAAGCTCGCCTAATGCCAAAACTACTGATACGAATGAAAGTCTTACAATATTCGGTCCCGTGCAACGAGGCTGCGTAACCTCTATAGATATCAAGTTCACCAGCAGCGAATAGTCCCCCATGACAGGCCGTGTTCTTTACTGGCCGGGACGAACTGGCCGGCGCCTGCGCATACAAACCAGAGGGTGTTTTACATGGGATAGAGGACACATTTTTGATTTTCAGACTCACGGGCACAGTACTCTTTGTTTTCAGTTTCAAATTTCGATCAGCATTGAATTTTACCAGCGTTTGAGTCTATTACTCAGGCCCTTACGTTTTAGCATTATCCTCTAATATAGCAATTCAAGATATTAGATCAGAGAACCAGCTAGATGAATATTTTACGTAACTCGTTTTCAAATACTCTAGATATTATTTTATCTTTAACTGTATACTTCACAGCGCCCACCGCGCCCGAACGGTCTCGATTTTTGACCGAGCTCGATTCATGACTATACAGAGTTGGTCTCAAATCTTTAGAAAATGAACGATTTTCCGGAGTGGCACTATCCACCATTTGCAACAAATTACGGGCATGATGCATGTCCGCTACCGGTGCCTTGTGAGACGATGCAAGAAATCTCGCTGGATAATGACTTCGATAGGTAAGCCCAAGGTACCTGCTTAACTGCTAACTTTAGCAACGATGTGCCAAGCTTAGCTGCGGGATTGTCCGGCTGGTTCAGCGAAGATCCCTATTGCTATACTGATAAAGGGGGCGTCAAAGAACTGGATACCCCGGCAAGTTGGAGCACCACACCGCCGCAGGAAAGTGGCGATCAAAAAGTGGACACCACAGAGGTAAGAAAGAGAGGACTAGATTGGTAATTGATAAAAGAGCGACGCCTGAACAAGCCGCTACTTTAAAGGGACTCTTTTAGCAGTGTCCTTTTCCATGATTTGTGGTAAATTTGCATGCATTTCCGGTTAGAGAGCACGGCCTATTGGGAGACGCAGACATCTCGCATACAAATTTTTCCACGATTCATACAAAAACGAAGCTGCTGAAAGTGCCCGTTTAAGAAATATCTGTACCACGTCGGAACTCGCAAAGAAGATAGCTCGAGCGGATGCTAATCATCTACGCATTTAGCGCGGTTTCTGTGTGGTATGCGGGATGAAGGCGTCTGGCGTACACTACGGTGGACGAAGCTGTGAGGGTTGTAAGGGCTTCTTCAAGGTAAGGCTAAAACCTCCAACAAAAAATATTGAGTTTAGCGTGCTGTCCAAACTCAAACCTACGCCAACTTCTTTTGCAGAGGCGAAGGCACCTGTTCCTTGTTGCGTTGGTAAGATACGATGAGAACATAAAGTAATAGGAAAATACTTCTTCTCATCGGTCAAAACAGATATCATCCTGCTTCCAGCCACGCTAACACTGTTAGGAGATGTCGGTGGAACAAATGTTTGACAGCCGGGCTTCAAATAAATGGTACGGAAAAATATATTTAGTATTTTGAGCCACCGACTACAGACTAAAGTTGTTATACAATTCAAACCAAAAAGAAACTGATGGTATACAATAATTAAACTGGAAGTCTTCAGGGGTTCGTCGTGGCGCGATGGCGGGCCGCGCGGGCCGACCGAAGCAGAAAAAGCCAAAATCGTCGTCTTAGACATCGAAACATGTTACCACGTCAAATGCTCCTAGTTGTTCCGGGCATCCCGAATAAAGATCTATACTTGCGTTCTAACAAGTCTAAGACCTACAACACACCCGAAACCTCTGAGCAGCAGAAATCTGCTCGCTTTACCATGAACATTATTATGAAAATCCACCACAAGGTGAATGCCCTGCGGAAATTAGGCGCGAAATAGCCGGAAATAAATAGCGAAAAATACCAGAAATGCACGCTTCCTATCGTGTTTCGATGCCTCGAGCATCGCGGTGGCTTACAGGGTGGGCAAAAAAAAAAGATCCGAGTTTGGGTCAAAATATCTCGCGAACGGTAGAGAATCGAAGGTGTGTTACCATGCCAGAATGCTTAAATATGCTGGGTATGCAAGATTGCTTACAACTTGAGTTTTCGATTTTAGTACGAAACTGTACTATTGACGCTGGTTACGACCGAAATTTGTGCGTTCTTGAACGGGTGGTGGGAAAAATTCTGATTTTTACTTAAATAGTCTAAATTTGTAGAAATGTTCTAACTTAGTCTTAGGAATTTTCCCAGGTCTATTTCATTTTTTACAAGCAAAACAATTTTCGCGATTTTGCGGTATTTTTGCACTTAGGGTGATAACTCGCTTCTAACTCACTGCCCTGGCTGCTTTTTTGCCAACGACATCCAAATGTTAATCTCAGATTCCACTTTCAGAGTCCACCGTAATCCATCGTATTTTTGTATTTAGCTACTAAAACGTGCCCCAGCGGGTGTGCTGTAGGATTTCGTTTTTAGTTTTTTCGGTTTCGGTTTTCGGTTCGGCTAAATTTTCTGGGTTAAGTTAGGCAATAGTAGGGACACCTTACTGCCAAAAACGAGGCGTACTAGCCACAAACTTTCATGAAAAGACTAAAAACAGATTTTTTAATTCTGCGGCAGAATTTTGTAAATTTTTTGGTCAATTGGTCCAAAAACTGCTACTGTTGGTTTTACGAAAAGATCGAAGCGATTCCATGGCAAAAACACCACGAAATCGCAAATTTCCCGGTTTTCTACAGTAACTCCCCCGTGGAGCGCGTTTTAGCATGCCGTCCCAAAATTCCATAAATTGGCGATTTTTCAATTCGGGAACCTTCTAGAGGTGATTGTAAGATAGCCTGTAAAAAATTACTGATTTTGGGTGGTAAATAACAAAGTTACGAAGGGCAAAGTGCAAAACCAGTCCAGAAGCCGATTTTTGGTCCGAGGAGCCAGGTCGTGCCGGATTTTTCCGTATATAAAACCACCTAAGTCTTCTGGTTTCACGGTCTTATAAGCTTTGACGTTATTATTTACGCCTGTCAAATTCCGGAGCAATCTGATTCAAAATTATGGTGTCTTTCAGCCAAAAATGGAAAATCACCCTGTTCCAAAATCGAAGTTTAAAATTCTTCTTAAAATTTTTTCGGCGCGAAATTGTTTTAATCTTTGCATAGTTTTATTCAACTGATATCCCAAAATTAATACGGAAAATATACGTTAGCGACTCCACCTTCCAAAAATTTTTTTACGCCCTCTCGAATTCGGTTTATTTCGGGTTTTGACGAATTTTCTTGTCGCCAACGGCTGGTCAAATAAATTCAAGAACTTGGCTTTAGGATGCGCTATTCAAATAATATTAGACAAAATTAAAATGACAATTTTCATAGCGCTGTTAAAATTTATAAATTGTTAGAGAGTTTTGGAAACAGCACGGAACTTAACCGTTTTGGGAGGCCCCTAAAAGGCGCCCTTCCAAAGGGGTACGGTAGCTCGGAATTTTGCAGATGATAGATAAACTCCAGTCCTACATAGCTAAACAAAAAAAATAGCTGAGGTCCCCTTTGTGATTTGAAATATTTTTCCAGTCCGATTTCGAGACCTCAGAAAATCCATGACCCAAGGGTCGTTGAAAACTCGAGAGTGTCATCGATCTCGAAAGAAATTTTTTTAAGCGTGTTTATGCGGTTGTATAGAGTCCGTAGTTATTCTATAACAACTTATTCTGATGTTTTGGCCATAGGTTTTTGTAATTTCCGAAATTTACGAAATTTCCCGATACAAAATTTCATTGCTCTCTAACTTTTCAACCAGACCCTCAAAAATTCTTACATTTTGTAGGTACATAGCCGCGGCCTATATTAACTTACTTAATAAAAATTAGATGCCAGCCACCACAGGAAACTGAGAAAAATCCAAATAAAGTTTCCCCGAACGCACATTTTCCGGGTGTCATTTGTATTGATACGTCGCCAAGATCGAGAATCAATTATTGTTAAATCTTCATACCCAGCATATTTAGCTTATTCTGGCATGGTAGCTTACACCTTCGATTCTCTACCGTTCGCGAGATATTTTGACCCAAACTCGGATCTTTTTTTGCTACCCACCTGTAGTTTGCGGTGCGGAGTTGCAGCGCAACCTATCCCTTGCCAAACCATATGCCCAATTTGGTGATCAGGGCCAAGTCCTGGTATAGTCTGGAGCTTTATTATCAAGATTTTTCCGGCTTAAACCTAATTGAAGTTTGAAGTTTTAAGAAGTTGAAGAAAAAAGAAAAAAAAGTTGAAGTTTCAAGGTCCTCCAAAGTCAGCGTTGCAACGTTTACGCCTCAACCACCTATCCTGCGATCCTTTCCACCTTCAGATTTCGACATCCAACTCCGCAATTTACTGTGCAAAAGCGAAGAACGGCTGAACGGCTTCGTCCTCTTGCCACGTATTCATGCGCGCGGACTGTGGTGCCACATTTCAGGTGCCCAAATACTGTAGCTTCTGCTTGGTTGTAGCTCTCGGGACGGAACGAAAAACCATTAAAGGGCATATTTGCTCATCGGTAATGCTGATGTTTCCTTTTTAGGCAATAACGGTTTTCGTACGATTCCCGGAAAATGTGACATTTAGCGTCGCGGCCACACACAGCGCCTTTTGGCACCCAAAAACCTGCAGGCCCTTCCGGGACGTAATGTGTGGAGGCAGGAGAAAATGGCGATTCAAACCAGGGTTGAAAAACCGCTTTCGCCAGCATTTCGACCCTGGCCGCGTCTGACTCTTCATGTGCATGTTAGTGCCCAGGTGCGAGAAGACAAAATGAAAAGCGCCCCTTCCGTCCCTTTATATAGGCAAGCCAGCACACTTCCGGTGGATTCTAATTTTTTTCCTAACAAAGAGGCCGAGAGCGAGATTTTCACAAAAACCTTGTTCAATATCTAAAACAGCTCATTTTAAAAAATTTGATAGGTGTGCAGTCGTGTCATGATCATTACGCACCTAATGACGTATCAAACATACCCCTAGCTTCTTCCTTTATTGAGATACGATTCTGGAACATACGGACGGAAGTTGCATGCAAATGCACACACACACACCCTGATCTCGTTCATATATAGTAGGATTGGTTGGTTTTATGCAAAACCCTGACCACAGATTTATACGAGGTCGCGCAGTCAATTGTAATGACGCCAGAAAAATCAGCGTTTTTTTAGCAAAACGTCTAAATCCAAAAAAATCCTAAGCGCGTAGAAAACTAACCCCGCTACTTTTCTCGCCTTTGCTAGGGCTTTCAAATGGCGTAGAAAACATCCCAAACCAAGTTTCCTCCGGACCGCTAGAAGATAGTTTACTTGCCAATACTTCGCGACTGTCGGTGAAAAACAATCTTGCCCAGCTTTCTATCTGTCTGGGCCCAGTTGAGAGTTAGTACACTTGCTACTTTCTTGAAAGAATTCAGCGATGTTCTTACACAGTATAATGTGCAACTCAGGGTCTTCGTTTTAATCTGTTTGACCATTTTTGCTAAATTTTATAACAGTTAACACACAAATAAATCAAGGTGACCGCCCTAGAAACAAAAGGGGTGAGGAATCTCTAAAAGCGTCTTTCTCCTGGTTACGTCGTTGTCGCTTATATGCTTATTATACATTTTTTAAACATTTTTTTTACAAATGTACAAGCATTTCTACAAAGCTTCAAGGTAACGGAGCTCTTATATTAATGGCGCGAAATTGTTATCATTGAATACCCGGGGGCGCCAGGTCAAAATCCTGGCCTAAATCAGTGGATCCGTTCATAGGGGCTGATGTAATTGATGATGGGCAACATGCGATTCATTGAACCCGTACATCTATCTCTATATCACCGGCAGAGCAAGCTTAATGTCTTCCGTCCGTCATCCGGCTTGCACGACCCATTTAAATCTTTCACATCGAGCCTTCTTATCAAAAACCGACTTTTTACCAACCAGCCAGGCAGCGCCACGTTTCCACCAACACAAAGCAAGACGGCGAGATTGGCCGAGGGGCGGGGATTCCGTGCTTTCGTCAAAAAACAGACGCGACATGTTCTTACGACAATCGCTTTGGCTACAAAGGCATGCGAGATTAGTCGACAACATTCACTTCGGCGGCTCAGCTTCAAGCATGCAGAAAGCCATCTACCTGGTCGTCCTCCTCAG